ACAGTGAAAGTAGCCTTGTTAATGGGAGGGTAGAAAACGGAGATAGTTCACGAAAGTGGTGGCAAAATGAATCGCATAGAAGACTGACTGGAGAGCGAACCTTGTGTCCCCCACCGTTAAGGACATCATCTTAAGAAATGCCGCATAGAAGTAGGAACTTTTTATTTGCCCAGCAGACCACTGGATTACGGACCATAAATTAATGCTTTTAGTAGTGGGTTTTTTTTTCTATACATCCACAACAAGCCTTTAGATCATCCATCTTCGTGTCAATCCAGATCTGCCACATTTAAAAGGATTCTTAGAATCGCCACACAAAAGGAAATTTTTACATTTAAACCATCAATGGATGCACTTCGTATGAGACGTACTGTATGCGCCTCTGCTAAGCACATCCTCATCTCGTCGTGAGACTTGAATGTCAAGCTGATATACTATTCGCAACAGCGGTGCTACGCTAAGGAAGCAATTCTAACGCCTCACATAAACAACCACCACAGCCCTTGAAAAATAATTTGATGCATCACGAGCGCCATGGATATACAAACACTAAAAGCAAGCAGTAGCTGGTTACTTACGTCCCCAGTAATCCAGAATAGAACCAAATTTCTGCTTCTTAGTCCTCTTCAGTGGAATCTCGGATACCGATTCCCTCGAACGATTTGTTAGATCACACATAACCCGCCGTCCATCACTGGACATCTAAAAACAACTTGTTTACTGTCTTTTAACTAACCAACAGCCACTCACAAACATATAAACAAAAAAGAAACGCACTATTATATACTACCGCGTTTTACTAAAAAAACTAGCTACTTAAAACGAGTACATGGGGTGAAAAAGTCGCGTGGCGGAAGCATGCAGGATGGGCGCATATATCTAGATTTCAAATATCCTGGAAGTCCAAATCACAAGATTTGTCAGCCCAACCATAGCGCCAACGTTCCATAACACGAGAGCAGTCAAAAAGTGGTTTTCCTGTTTTCTTGTTTACTAGATTGTGCTGCAGGCACATCCACCCACTGAATGCTTCACGGCTTCGAACGTCTGGTGGGTAAATACTAATATCTATAACAAAAAAGGATAGCAAACACTTATCAGTGCCCAAATTTTTGTAGACGAAAAAATTGCATTTGACTAACTTTTCTTGAAGTCATCAGCACAGTATTTGCACGGAAAGAAGTTGGCAAAATCGTTGATAAAGCTTTCCATTGACTTCATCTCTTCTTTTGTCGGAGTAATTGGATAGTAGGCAGCCATTGTATGCAGAAGAGCCCATGTTGCGCGACCAAGACTGGTTTTGTCGAGTGGGCAACCTATACATGTTTGTAAACATAGGAAAAAACTTTTGCACATGCAGTTAAGGGACAACATAAAAGTACGCAAAGGGTATTAGATTCGAGTCATCATCATTAGAAATTCCAAGCGTTATTCCAATCATTAGTTCCATGTACCTTTCGCATCAAGGAAAAAGGGTGATGCCGTCCGAGACTCTGGTTTAATTTTTTTGTAAGTGGATAAATCTACACAAGCACGACAAAAAGATGGTGAACGTGGATTGTACAAATTCTTTTCCTCCTCCTGGCGCGTCGACCTATCACCCCTTGCGTTTCCCGACATAACCGAAGGCAGCTAGAAAAAAGTGTGGAGAGCACGAGAACAGAACAGTCAAATGCGTTCACATACTCGGTAGCATCATTTTCATCAGGGCCAAACAACTTCCCAACTTGCAATTTCATACATTTAAACAGTATTGTAAAATTGCTTACTAAGTATCAAGCTTTAAGGCATATATGTCACCCTTTAGTGAGTGCCTTTGGGAATGTTATCACTATCAGATGTAAAATGAACTCGGGCTTTTTAATAACAAGGTGCTATATCTATTTAAAAAAGGGATAGTATATTTTTTATTCTATCTGGTTTAGGCTGCAAAGCACCACAATCCTGTTAAAATTTTTTGCTTTCTTTAATGTTAAACAATATAATTCGCTAAAGTTGGTTAGTATAACATGCAAAAACGTAAAGAACTGCAACCAAATTTTGCCCTTTTAATAAGAGTTCATAACTTATCTTCTGTGCTTAAAAGTATTTGTTCTTTTGCTCCTACATTTTGGTCTTTAAAATTTTATTTAGCAATTTTTAGATTGTTTTTAGGCTATGACTATAGAATGAATATTTTTATTCAAATGGGCGCCGTCTTTCATTCGAATCACCTGCTGGGTGTCTGGTTGCTTCAAAAAGTTCCAGTTAGTAAGGGATTGTTGTGGTGATATTTTTGTTCTGACTGTGTTCTTGTGCACCTTTCCCCATCGTAATGTGTTCTTGGGCTTTGCCTATTTAGTGTTACTGTAACGGCTCTGCTGAGAGTTATGTCTCTTTCACATAGGAAAAAAGCATCGCATGCTCAATAAAAATATTCGGTCTTGTGCTAGTGATTATTTGTCCAGATTTTCCTTTGCATATTGTGAAACTTCTTGGGTAGACAAGTTTGCTTATGTTAGGTAGTGCCACAGGCCGCAATGGATGCCTCGGCTCGCGACGATGTTGTCCTCACTTTAACGGAAGCGGACGATACTTCTTCCCGCCAAATTGTAAAGCGCCGACGTCTTGCCCTTCTCTGCCATTTTGGAGTGCGCTCCACTGCTCTCATCTTCTATCTTCTGTGTTCCTGGTTCACCACCGCCTTCATCGCCCCTGTAGTCACCCTCCTCACCCTCTTCGCCATCGATTTTTGGCTTGTCAAAAACGTCAGTGGTCGTCTTCTTGTTGGTCTCCGATGGTGGAATTCTATCGACCTAGAGACTGGCACTTCTAAGTGGGTTTTCGAATCCGTTAATAGCACAGCAAGAGGGGACGAGTCAGTAAGCAGTCGAGAACGCGCTTCCCGTCGCTCCGCCGCTCGTCTATTCTGGCTTGGGTTGCTCATATTCCCGGTAATTTGGGTAATTCTTGTTCTTGTTGCTGTTTTCTCGCTAAAACTAGCTTGGTGTCTTGTTGCGGCCTGCGGATGTTTGGCTGGGTCAATCAATGCCTACGGGTATCTGCGTTGTCGCTTCAAAGGTAGTCCCATCGGCGGTGACTCCCAAGGAAGTGGTTTTAGGGGCCTCTTGACGACCAAGATGGCCAAGATTGTGATTTCAGATCTGTGGTCGAATGAGGAGAACCAACAGCAACAGCCTCCTAGCATTATCTAGGGCGATGAGGTTGTATCGACTTCTTCATGGTTTCATTGGTCATTGAAATTTCTTCACTTTGATCGGTTAGATTTGTTTATGTTATTTGTGTTTGAGAAGTAATGTACAAAATTACTTTCTACTTCCTCTTGTACTTTTTTTGTTGATTAAGTACAATGAATTCAGATGGCGTATACTATTGTAAACCTTCGAGCTGTTGTGTGGAAATGTAAGAAGCACATACGGGTTTTTCTCTACGTTTGAATGGTTTTCTGGGTACAAAAGATTGGATTACTGGTCTCTATATCTAGGCGAATTGCCTTTTTACTTTGTATCAATCCTGAAGCTTTGGCATAACTGGTACTTCTTTTAAAGTGCTCCCTCACTAAGGACTGCTCTGCAACTTTCGGTGTATTTTACCAGATGCATCTTCACTTTTTCATCCGTTTAACTTATTATGCAGTAAGTGCGCCCAATGAATTGCCTTCTTAGGTAACTGGCCTATAACTTGTTAATACATGTTCTAATGCAGCTTCATGCTTTCTGAACTGAGCATGGGATGACCAAAGGAAAAAGCACTTTTCATTGGAAGAGGATGAAAGGTGGCAGTTGATCGCTTGTCATCCAGTAATTGGTTGCCCAATCAACAAATTGGCAGACACTGTAGAAGTAAACACTGACAAACATGATGAGAGAATTTGTCATGCGGGGATGTGGTCTCATTTAACAGGATTTGACACACAAGACTCCCTGACTCGGTATTACTTTGTGCCTTTGCCAATACCGACTGTCAGTCGGCCGGTGGCTATCAAATTTAAGCAATAAAAGCTTTCTTATTTGGATTTTCATTATTTAACCTACTAGTTACGTAGAGGGCTTGGCCTCCGGTAAGGTGTCATTTCCTTCGCCCCTGTTTGGGCTGTGGTGGAGGTCTCTATTTCGGTAAGTACGTTTCTCCCGTGCTGATATTCGTGCTCCATGCACATCGGACCTTTGAGCGATTAACTTTTTTCTTACCAACCAAGTAACACTCCAGCCGTTCTTATGTATTCAAATGACGAGATCACTCAACGAGTGGTTTGGTATCTAGTCTTTAAGGCATTCGATGTACCAGCTTTATCCATTCAATTTATGATTAAGTGATTTCGTTAAATTTTCCTAGGCAGCTTGTTTTAAACAGAAGCAACGATTTGGATAACTTAAAAAGGAACTAGCCTTACTCTCTGAAAGAAGCGGCCTAGTTGGTACATGTTGCTTATCAAATTACATCGAATTCCGTCTCACTCGCATACTTTTCTTGATTTGCATAAGTTCCCACGATTATTGATTATTCATGATGCTTCGCCCTCTGGGGAATACAGGATTGTGGATGTCGTAACTTTTTCATTTTTTCTAACTTTAATGCGAATTAATGTGGTCATTACATCCTCTCTTTTTGTAATTGCCTCAGAATACGTTTTTACTGCCATTATTTAAGTAAAAAAGCTGTTATTCGGCAATTAAGCGGTCATGGGTAGCGGTATGCACTTGCCTATTTTTTATCACAAAAAGGATAAATTCCGGAAGTCTTTTTGGCATGATTTTAAACGCCTTAAACTCTGCTTCCGACCACCAAACTCGGTTTCTTACCGGGGTGCGTTTTTGACCACTACAGTTGGGATTAGGTTGACGGCCTTGCCTTAGAAATGGTCGAAGTGAACGTAAGGGGCCGAAAAGTGGACGAGTTGATTGCATGTAATGCTCCAGCCTTGCAGGATTTACCCACCCTGTGACCTTCAAATGCACCTTTAATGCTTTTGTCCCACTTAAGCTACTTAAAAACTGAAAACTGTTCAACTTTCCCCCATAGGAAAGAATTCAATTTCATTGTCACAGTTAACCTTGACATTTTTCACCGTTGCGTTTTTATCCTCCCCATCAGCGCCCTCTTAAGGAAAAGTTGAGGTTATAGTTTGTTTATTTGAGGGAGTTTTTCTTTAATTCAACAATGAAACAAGTAATTGCTTGGGAAATAAGTGTTTGGCCAGCTACTAATGACCGCATAACGCAGTTCTTTTCCACAGACGAGTTAAATCAATCCTGAGGACAGGTGAGCTGCGTCGTGGAGGGCGGTCCGCCCTGAGGTGAGACCCAGTTCAGTGATGTGAGAGGGGCTTTGGGCAGAAGGAGCGGATGCGTGCATCCATCCATCTTAAACCGCTCATGTGTGAACTAGCAACGGCGGTGGCAAGAACTAACCGTTTATCATTCAAAGCTGGATATTTTTGAGAATTAATTGCACAGAAAGTCTTCTTCTAGCAGGGTGTTTTCTTGTCAGAGAGTTAGTTTTTATTACAGGCCCAATGAGGAGTGCTTTCGGGTGCTGGACAGGGCTACAGAATGCTTTGAAGAATGAGCGCCAAGAGAGGACTCATTCAACGCTCCGCAAGTGTGTGTGTGTGTGTGTGTGTCATTATGACAGGCACCTTTTTCACATTTTAACCAGTTAATTTAATTTGTAGCTGTCAATTTGGGAATAAATTGTAATCCTTGGTTTGATTGCCGTTTCGATTAGCGATTTAATTTAATTTTATGATATTTAAGCGGTCATAAGAGAGTCTAGACTGCTCTCGTCGATTGATGCTTTTTTGACTGTCAAGTTACGCCTTGAAGACGCTTTGAGGGTCTATTATCAAGGGTGTGCAGAAGAGCTGGTGATAGAGATCCTACTCCACTCCTTAACCGTGAAGGCCGCTTTGCAGAGAACGGAACCGTTTTATCTACCGCCGTATGTAGCGTTTTCAGTAGTTCCTCCTCCGTGCTATCCATCTGGATGCTACTTAAGAACTTAAAAGTAGTTGCTACTCAAGAGAGACACAGGAAAACCGATTTGGGAAGCTCCCAAATCCTACGATAGTCTCGATGGGAGGGCCGTTTTGCAGAGGATGGAGTCGTCTTATCCACCACCGTATGTGACGTTCTCGGTAGTCCATCTTTCGTACTGTTCACCCGAATACTACTTAATGACCTAAAAGTAGCTGCTTATCAAGAAAGCTATAAAAATATCGGTCTTTTATCAAAGTTGGACGACTTCCAAATCCAATGGCAGTCTCAATGAGAGGACCGTTTTTAAAGGTCGGAGTTATTTTGTCCACAACTGCGTATGGTGATCTCAGTGTTCCCCCTTCTGAATGCTACTTAAGAGCTTAAAAGTAGCATCGAGTCAACGGCGTTCTGTCGTAGTTTGATGAAATCCATCTGATGAGTCCCTTTGTTCCACGTCACAAATACAGGGCGAACTCTAATTCCTCCACTCCAGTCCTATTGGCTACTCTGATACTCCTTGTAATTTGGGGACGTCTATCAGATCTGCTTTTACTGCTCTAGAAGGCGGTTTTAACTCGTTCATTTTAAATCTCGCCTTATCGTCAACACTGCTGCAGAATTGGACAATATCGGTGCACCCACTGAAGGTTGACTCTAATTCGACAACCTGTCCGCGTGGAGTCGGCAGGTGCCTGCAGAAAAGATAGTGAAATTATTGTCGAATGTGGTAATAATGCACACAAAACTGGGGCCAGCTCCATTTCGCGCGTACCCGGGCGGTTTTATCCCCACTCCCCCGTCAAGGGTGTTAAAACCGGGGGAGAAGCCAAAGGCCCACATAATCTCCACCCTTATTTTTGTGTGGTGACCTAGATGTGATGTGCACAGGGCTGTGACTGTGTGTGTATGTATTTATGATCGAAGGTGCGTGCATTCAGATAATTTGAAAGGTGTGTTGCGTGACTGATGAAATGGTGTGTCCACATCTGCACGCACGCACGCGCGTGCACATGCACGTACGCACCGCGCCGATTCATCCACTGCATGTGCACGCGTACATCGGTGCGCGGGTGGACGTGCGAGTGCGGTATCAAACCAATCAAATCGGAAATTTGCAATCCCCTTCCCCCACCTTCGCCTCCCAACTCCATATACTGCTCCCGCTGCCCGAATTTTTTGTAATACCAATAGGCAGTCGAGGCATCATCACTGAGTATTTTCTTGCCACCTCCCACTCCTCCTTCCCCAGCTATAAATTCCTTTTAACCTCCATTTGGTTGGTGTTGGTGGTGGATTTTTCTGTCAAAGAAAGCTGCCTAACCACACCTACTCGATCAATAAACATCATAGATCGGTTGTGACTCAGTCACAGGCTTTTCCCTTGGCTCTTCCCACCCCAAACCCTTACTACTCCCTGAAATCAAAGTGTGCAGTCGAGGCACCATCATTAAATATTGGCCTGCAAAGGGAGATGCACACTGTCATCTGCCAACTATAATTGACCCTTCTCTTCCACTAACGAGGTCTTGATAATAATTGTTGCCTAGTTGGTGGTGGTGTTGCATTTTTCCGGCAAAGAGAGCTTCTCTTCCATGCTCAATCAATCGCCGCAATCCACTCGATTGCCTGATCGATAAATACCATCGACCGGTGGTGACTCATCCGCATGTGGGAGTGGTGCTTTGGCGGTGCGGTTAAATGCACCGTCGACACGTGGGCGGTAACAACTCGACAATGAGGATGCTCAAAGCTGCCCTTTTTTCAGTGGGGGAGAAATAAAATTGTCGTTTCTGGTAAAAATGCTTTTTTAAAACTATTTTTGACTAATTATCAAACTTAGGACGATTTATCAAGTGTAGGAGTACACCGCATTGGACTACAAAGCTCGAGGGGACTAATTTGCATTTCATACACATTAATGTCAAACTTGGAGTGTTTATCTTAAATACAAAAACAGTCTGTGTCCATTACCATTTCATCATGCCACCACTTTATTGACTTGAAGGGGATAGAAGCCTAAACAATGTGAAAGCAAGTGTCTGCGTTCTGACAATAAGTTCGCTTCGAAGAGGGCGTCCTTTTGGAGGAAAAAAAGAAGTTGTGTCTAAATTATTTTCAAGTGAATGTTTAAGGACAGGGGGACCGATCCCATCTCCGCGCAAATCGCTTCGACATTCCACTGCGATCACGAGGCGCAAATGGATAATTGGCCTTCG